AGGAACGCTGCAATTTCGTCAACGTCATGGCATCTCTTATTAAGTAATTCGAGCGCGTTGTAATTACACGCGGTTCGCCGCGTAACATAAATTTCGTTGTTAACGACAAAATTGAAAAAAAAAAAGAGCCGAACCTTACCTCACGTTCAGTTCACGTACCGTGAACCCGTTTTCTTTCCCTCCGCTTATACGCGTGTATCGAGAAACTTTTGAGATTATAGCGTGAGTGTTGTGTACCGCGCTCGATGGAGCATGAATGAAACGGTATGAGGAAACGCGTCGATAAATCGTTGATAAAAAGAGATAAGAAGAGAAAGAAAAATGCAGAATCGGGGAACAAGCGTGAGTTAGTGGAGCAAGATCAGTAATTCCCGGCAGGTTCGACACGATCGATTCTTTCACCGCTGCGAATGACTCCGGAAACTTTCCCTCGGTTCGTTTTACGACGAATTTTCGACGAATCTGAATGAGAAATTTGAACGTGTAATTCATTTGGGTGTTGGTTACTTGGAAACAAAAATATCTCTGATAATTCAGAACGTGAGTTACTTTTATAAATAATTAAATATCATCTCCCAAGTATTCTTAAAAGAGGAAATAATTATTAACAGAACTCTATCTCCTGAACTATTATTATTCCAGAATTGGATGAATTTAATTCATCACGACGATAAATTTTTGCCTTTGGAGTCTGATAAATTTTCACATGTCGATCCGAAAATGGGAAAATTCAGCTTTGAAAATATTTTGTAAAATTCATGCACGCTGAGCTGACCGACGTTTCATATAATAATATATTATAATATAATGATTAAAGTGATAATATAATATATTAATATAATAATTAAAGTGATAATAAAATATATTAATAAAATAATTAAAGTGATAATATAATATAATAATTAAAGTGTTTAAAACACTGTTAATAATTTTCAGTATTTATAAATTTTAGATAATGTCATTATTTTTTACTGCTGTGCATATTTCTTTCTTCTTTTTTTCTTTTTCTTTTCTGATAGTCAGAACATTAAATTTAATCATTTTAACAGACTAAATGTTTAATATTCGCGTTCGTGTCACGAGTTAATAGTGTGTTATCATTAAATGTATTATTAACGGGGGCAACAATAAAATACAGTTAATAATTTCGATTAGTTGATTTTTTAAAATAATTTCAGTATCTGGAGCAGAATAGACAGAGAAAGGGAAGAGAAATCGTTTAAACGATCGTTGTCGTAATTGATTGAGACGTAATTAGAAGGTGGGACAATTATTATCGCAAGTGACACTCGTCTACTAATTACACACTTCGTGTTCGTCTGGAACATCTTGTCAACAATATTTTCTCGAACCCGTTTGTTCAATTAATTTCCGTTCGATCGACTTGGATCGCAATTGTGTCGCGCACCAAGGCCAAAAGTTACATTTTCTCTCGTGTCGCAGCTACACGAAGCGTAATCAACAATTTTATCATCACGACGTTCCCTATTTTGATAAAGTTCCGGTATTTTGATAAAATTTCAGTGAATTATGTTGTCACCATTATCAGAATAATCGCACCACTTTGTTTTTTCGTCGTGCAAATACTCAAACGAGACTGATAATTCAATATAATAGCTTCACCATGCTCGATTACTAACGTACAATTATTGCACGAAGAATTGTTTATACTAATAATAATAGCAAGTTGTAGAAGTTTGCGAATAATAGTAAATAGTAAATACTAATAATAGTGAATTAGAGAAGTTATAGTAGTAAAAAATTATTTATAATAATAGTAAATTATGATAAATATTTATACTAGTAATAGGTAACAATTAGTTTATACTAATAATAATTTGTACTAATATAGTAGTTTATACTAATAGATATTAACATATTAACTAATGTTAATAATTATTTATACTGATAGTATAAATTATCAATACTATTATTGATGATTATCAACATTTATTAAACATTATCAATATTTAATATTAAATATATCATTATGAAATAAATAATTAATAAAATAATTATTAAATATCAAATGTTTATTCTAATAATAAGTAAGGTAATAATAAATATTTATACTAATAATAGGTAACAATTAGTTTGTACTAACATAGTAGTTTATGCTACTAAAATAGGTATTAACATATTAACTAATGTTAATGATTATTTATACTGTGATAGTATAAATTATCAATATTGTTATTGATGATTATCCACATTTATTAAAAATTATCAATATTTAATATTAAAAACATCATTAAAAAAATAACATTACTGTCTGATAAAATAAAAATCTGCATAAATTGTCCTTGTAAAGGAGCGTGTCTAACAAAACCTGTATGCTCTTTGTCAACCGATTGAAAAACGATTGACAAGAAAAAAAAAAGCGGAAAACCAGTTTGCATTAGCTGTTACCAACGCGAAAGCTGCATTAATCAAACGATTCAGATACTCGATACCTGGATTCCTTCTCTGTTATAGTGGACTGATCATTTGGTGGTGAAAATATTCGACACATTGTTACACCTGTCTTTTGTTTCGTTGTACTAACTCTACGAGAAGGAAGACGATGCATGTTCTATCTCTAAGTAAGGAAATGATAATTGCATTTTTTCAATTGTTAAACATGTCCGCGTCATACGTTATCACGTGATGAAAATTGAAAATGTTAATTCTTTAATGATAAATAGATTTTTAAAACACTGGCAAACCTTTTCAATCATAGTTATAATCGCAAATTGTACAATTGCTTGCTTCTTTTTGTAATAAATATTTATTACAAATATTGTAACAATAAATTTGTGGAAAATAAGAAATCTTTTCATTTGCAATTACAAACATATTTATTTTATTTTTGACAGAACGGAAATGTTAACTCTTTTGTGGTAAATTTTCTAGAACGCTAACAAACCTTTTCAATTGCAATGACATTGAAATCATACGATGTTCTTTTGTAATAAATTTACAGAATACACTCGAAAGTAACTTAATTGCTTTTCAATTGCACTTATATTAACAAATGCGACGCACTGTCACAGCGGAGAGAAGAAACTGGAAATTTCTAGCATAATATATTCAACGAAACATTGCAAAACACTTTGCTGGAAGTCCAGGGTAACGCGAAAAATTATTCAAATTGTTACGTCTGCCGCGGCTTGTTTTTTAAGCGAAAAGAAACACAAGGAAGTGTCATAGGTCGCTGATTTAATGAAATTTCTTCAAACGAAAATTCTAGAACGTCTTGAGATACATCAGACGATACGGATAATAAAATCTTACAAATAAAATCGATATCTGTTACCGCAGATGATAAAATTTCTTAAATGCATTTTGTTTTACTGATTTTTTTCATTGAATTTCGCCAACTTTGAGAACAATTGTAGCGCTCGTCGCAAGATTTTCAAACGAATGGAAGAATGCAATTTCGTCTGTGTAGAAAGTTCGAATGTCTGTCGTTAGGATAATCACTTACGTGCCGAATGTGTCGCAATGACTCATAATATATACGCATTTTCCGTTGTTCCGAAACTGTCATTTAAATTTGAAATAAAGGAGAAATGATGGTCACGGCTGGCTCACGCCGACAGACCTTTGAGATGATGTTTTGCATTGTCTAATATGCATTAGCTGATCTCATGCATAACGCGACTTTTCCAATTACGTACGTTCAATGAAAATAAACATCTGTCTGCCAGTGTTAAATCAACGATGAGTTTTTTTTTGCCCGCTCCCCCTTCACTCTCTACAGTCTGCTTATTCATTATTTTAAACTGCAGACTAATGGTTAAATAACAACAGCACAATACGTTAACTACGTTCTTACACAACGTAATACACAAATATTGTGCACGTAATACGCAAATATTCAAGCGTCGAGACAAATCAATTTTCTAGTCGCGTTTTCATTTATTTACTTGTGCTTTTGTAAGAATATGATATTTGCATGAAGGTCTGCAATATAAATTATATGTATTAACATAATCGAAAAGTGTAGGAAAATTAATGCTGATAAAGATAAAAATTATTAGTTCTCCGTGTGCACGAACTTTAAAGCAAGATTGTATTTTATACATGTGTGTTATAATACAAGGTTTTAGTAAATTATTATTAAATATTATCCGAACACGTTGTGTTCTATCAGGATAGATTATCTTCTAGTAACTGGGAAATTATTTCGTCTTGTCTTCCAATATTAAGATTTTCGAGAATTGTGGGTTCGAATAACTATGTGTATTATACATAGAAAGAATCGATTGACGCCGTTGTCAGATTTTTGATAAATGCACTCTCGCTTAAAAGTCCTAGGACATTTTCCATTTTTAATATTCAGCATCTATCCTATATGTACAATAAACTTTTTTAATTTTATACAAATGTATTTTACAACACAATTATTAATTATATTGTTGAACAATGTTCTGTGACGTGTCATCTAATTCTTCCAAGCATCGATTCGATTCCATAAATTTCAAACCGCAGAAGAATAATGAAATTGCCTTCAATACTGTTTTCTAAACTCGCCCCTAGAGTTTACATTATTTCCTTTCAACGAACAAACTTACAGAAATAAATCGTTACGTTTCGCGCAACGAAGTCGACTATCGTGCAACGAGATTGAGAAATTCGATTGAGAAACAAAATTGTTAGAAATTGTTAGAGTCAGTTAGTTTGGCTTTTAACCACTTGCGCTGGTTAACTGATTGCGGACCATAACGAGCAACCAAACCGTACACAAAATAATTCGCCGCTTTCTTTTCTCAACTCGTCGGTGTGATATCATATCACTGATTAGAAATTATCGAGATGTAGTGAATTTATTATTTGCTTTGCCTGAGTTGTACTTAAATACACTTGAAACTAGAGGAAAGATTGCAATTTTAGGGACAGAAAATTCTCGACGTGCGCGGCACGTCTAAACACTTTCGCGTATCGAGAAAAGAAGCTGGTAAGAAAATCTTCTCACACGGAACGTGCGATAATCGGAAGGATTTGCCTGTTTTTTCCAGAAGTTCGTGTTCCACGGTTTACTTCGGCGACATAGGTACGGGATCGGGGGTGGGAGAAGTAACCGCCGCCTCGGCGGGGGGTGGCGAAGGTCTCAGCCTGACTCCAACCCCCGCCAGCAACAGCAACAACACAACTACCGCCACCCCCAGCACCACCGGCGTCACCACCATTACCATCACCACTACCACCACCACCACCAACGACACAACCCCGCAGATCGTAACGGGGGCTGAACCGCCCCAGCACATGGAGACACCCTCGACGATGGTCCCCGACCAGGCACCCGCCTCCGGCCATCACTACCACCGTCACCACCACCATCATCATCATCATCATCACCATCATCCACGCAGCGCGTCCACCCCTAGCCACGGGCCAACCACCACCGACACGTCCGACGAGTTCGTCGCCGTTACTAGGAAACGGAAGCTCTCCTGCCAGTAAGTTGACGATTCCTTTTTCTCATTCTTTTTTATTATTCAAAGTGATTGTTAAACGAAGGGGTGCAAGATCGGGTAAAGATTGAAGACTGATAAAAATAATTTGGGTAAAAATCAAATATAATTATTTGTACTTTTTTTTCTTCTTTGAATGGATTTATTGATAAATAAAATGACAAATAATTCTGGTAGAAGATGGAGTTTGTAGAATAGAATTAGAAATTATGTGCTGAAGCAAATAATTTTTGAATAATCGAGTAATCAAGTAATTTAGGGAAAAATCATTTTTTAAGTGGTAATAAACTCCTGCCAGTAAGTTGACTATGTCTTTTTCCATTCTTTTTATTATTCAGAGTGATTGTTAAACGAAGGGGTGCAAGATCGGGTAAAGATTAATTTGTTGAAAAATAATTTGGGTATAAATCGAATATAATTATTTGTATTTTTTTTTCTTCTTTGAATGGATTTATTGATAAATAAAATGACAAATAATTCTGGTAGAAGATGGAGTTTGTAGAACAGAATTAGAAATTATGTGCTGAAGCAAATAATTTTTGAATAATCGAGTAATCAAGTAATTTAGGGAAAAATCATTTTTTAAGTGGTAATAAACTCCTGCCAGTAAGTTGACTATGTCTTTTTCCATTCTTTTTATTATTCAGAGTGATTGTTAAACGAAGGGGTGCAAGATCGGGTAAAGATTGAAGATTGGTAAGAATTAATTTGTTGAAAAATAATTTGGGTATAAATCAAATATAATTATTTGTATTTTTTTTCTTCTTTGAATGGATTTATTGATAAATAAAATGACAAATAATTCTGGTAGAAGATGGAGTTTGTAGAACAGAATTAGAAATTATTTGCTGAAGCAAACAATTTTTGAATAATCGAGTAATCAAGTAATTTAGGGAAAAATCATTTTTTAAGTGGTAATAAACTCTTGCCAGTAAGTTAACTATTTCTTTTTTCGTTCTTTTTATTATTCAGAGTGATTGTTAAACGAAGAGGCGCAGGATTGGGTAAAGATTTATTTGTTGTTCTTCTTTGAAAAATAACTTGGGTATAAGTAACTTCATCTTGGGTATAATTATTTTTATTTCTTTTTTTTTTTGAATGAATTTATTGAAATAAAATGATAAATAATTCTGGTAGAAGATGGAGTTTGTAGAATAAAATTAGAAATTATTTGCAGAAGCAAACAATTTTTGAATAATCGAGCAATCAAATAATTTAAGGAAAAATCATTTTCTTGGTGGTAAGTGATAATAAACTATCGTTAGATTATTTCAAGATCGAGTCGACTAAGTTGATGTACTATTTGAACAATGATTTTTCAAATATTCTGTTCAAATGTAAGCCTGAAGGAAAATAGAACAAATTTTCAAAATGTATTGGGTTGTGTAATAAGTTCATTCTTTCATACATGTATCTAACTAATGAATAATTTATTAATTCTATTTTTCTACAAATATATATCATTTATTAAAGGGGCTATGAAAAAGAATTTTGAGAATTTACTTAACATTATTTTGTTTCATTTAGATTCTACAATTTTATAAAATTTAAAGAAATTAAAGTATTTATAATATTGTGATAAATTTGGTCCTTAATGAATCAATATATTAATAATACAACTTCTATGCTATATTGTTAATTATATGATGTATAGTCGTATTACAAAGTAGTTATACAATTGAAAAATTTTATTGTCTACGAGACAAATATCGAATATTAAAAATAAAAAGTGTCTCGAGACTTTTGAACGGAAGTGGACGTAATCTGTAAAACTATTTAAAGTAAAATGCTCAATATAACATTTATTGAAGGAACGAAAACTTTGCTCAGGTTTCGTTTTTCTTTTATTCACGTTCGCTATTAACTAATCGTATCATTTTTTAGTCAGAAATCTCAGTAATTGTTAAAAATGAATAAAATCGATGTTATATTATATTCGATATCGTGCAACGATAATACCTGCTCGTGCTCGTGCCTGATTCGCAGAATTCTATCATTCCAATGTTCAAAATTCTTAAAATTTAGAAAATTCTTCGAAATTTCTTCAGATTATCGAAACGTAGAACTCTTTCGATTCTTTGAAACAGCTCGCAAAATATAAAATTCTACGAGAAGTCTCGAAAACGTCGCGTCGAATTAATGTAGATCAGTGTAGCGCCTTCGAAAAGATCGAGGGACACGCTAGAACCACTTTGTTCCGCGCAAAGCCAGCTTCGCTGTAGATGTAGACGTAGAAGTCGTACTGTTACACATGTTAACCCACCACCCGTGTAGGAGAGAGGCACGTCGAAACGAAGCCACCTAAATTTATTCAAGGGTGACATTTCCATCTACAAGCATCTTTCTGTTTCACCCCCTGGCTGCCGCCACTTCGACGTCTCCCATGACGTTTCGCTGGTCGTTTAAACGGCCGCAATTCCGAGTAATTACCAATCAAGGTGTCGGTTACACGGCTCAAAGGGTTACCGGTTAACTTAATCATTAACAGAGCCGAAGATTTGCCTCTCTCTCTCTCTCTCTCTCTCTCTCTCTCTTTCTCTGGGGACACGGAGCCTGATCGAAATTGCCTTTAGTCACCGCTCGGCACGGTTATGCCGGCTTCTGACCGGAATCTATCCAATCTCACGTGTTTAAGCGAGTTCGTGAACCGTGAAGTCGAAATCGGGGACAAAACTTCCTTCTGATCTTGCAGATTTTCCGACCGATAATACTCTGTCGCAGAAGCGAGCAATATATCATTCGGCAAGTTGCATATAATTTTGTTTTTAAAAATAAAAGTTATGGTTATTCAGTTACAGTTTTTAAAAATATAGCTATAGTTAGTAGTATAGTTATATAGTTAATATAGTATAGCTATAGTTAGTAGTATAGTTATATAGTTAATATAGTATAGCTACAGTTAGTAGCATAGTTATAATTACAATTACAATAATATAGTATAGTTATAGTTATAGTAAGTAAGATAAAGTGGGAGATGGGGAACCCGAGCGAAGATTTGTTTCGATTATTAAACAGTAAGAAAAACAGTTACACGTTTTGAGCATTTTACACATTTTTGCGTGTATTTGTGTATTCTTGCACATTAAAATTGTTTATATATATATATATATATATATGTACGTTTCTTTTACGTTAGGGATTGAAAATCTCGTGTTGGAAGAATTCATACTTTTACTAGAGTGGAAGAACCTAAGCAAAGATTTGTTTCAGCTGGTAGATAGTATTATATTTTGCGTATTATTAAATTTCTTTCATGTAGAAATTTTATGTTGGAAGAATTCATATCTTTAGAAATAAGATTACTAGAGTGAAAGAACCTAAGCAATTATTTGTTTCAGCTGGTAGATAGTATTATATTTTGGGTATTTTGGGTATTATTAAATTTCTTTCATGTAGAAGTTTTATGTTGGAAGAATTCATATTTTTAGAAAGAAGATTACTAGAGTGAATGAACCTAAGCAAATATTTGTTTCAGCTGATAGATAGTATCATATTTTGGGTATTATTTCTTTCATGTAGAAATTTTATGTTGGAAAAATTCATATTTTTAGAAATAGGATTACTAGAGTGGAAGAATCTGAGCAAAGATTTTATCAATCAATATTATACTATGATGAATATATATATATATTAATATACTAGAAGTATTATAATATTATATACACTATTATATTATATTCTACAATATTATATACAATATTATATAATATTATATACACTATTATATTATATTCTACAATATTATATACAATATACATTAATATTATAGTAATATATAATAGTATATTATATATATAGTATTAGCATTATAATATTATACTACACCATTATAACAACATATTTTATATCTTATAACATATTCTACGTACCCTTTGCATTTTTCTTTAATTTCTAACATCTACACTCTAGCGATAAGCTATTATACTTGTCCTAATTTGTCTAAATTTGTCATTTGTCATACATATTAAGAATAAAAAGTATGCCCATTTGATTTTGCAATTAACACACAATTTGAGGCAGAACAATGCTAAAATTAACGTACCTCGTGGTAAAAGTGCGAAACTTAAGCGTGCCTGTTGAAGCTTCTTGGACAAAAGTACGACGAAGCACTACACAAACTAAACTTGGCAAAATTTCACATCAAAGGAGTAACGACCCTTTTGAGGTGAAGAAATTAATTCAGTGTACACTTGGTTTCTTGATATTTTGACGTTTCTGGGCCTGCGGGTCTTCCTCAATTATATTATTTGATTACAGTCTCGGTTCACACTTGGGGTGGAGACGGAACTAAAAATTGAACTGCGGATTTTTATGCATTCGTAGAATACACGAGAAAGCATAAAATATCCCAAGTGCAGTAACTACTATAATATTTTTGGACGAAACGAAATTCAAATATAAAAATCCGTGGTCCAAATTTAGACAAATTCCAGATATTAATTATCGCAAAATGATTATTATCGCTTAATAATTTTATGAAAAGATTTAGCCAGTCTTCTATTTAATTCTGATGATAGATATGTAAATCAATTCAGCGGCCTTGCCTACTCTTGACAATATTCAAATCTAACATTTCGCATCTATTAATATATCAGTTCTTTTCTGATTTTTTTTTGTGACAATTTAAGACGATATTTCCACGCTCAATGTCTCGACTTTTCTGTTTCAGCGACGGTAGTGATTTATTGGACGACACGGGGGACGATGCCAAGTCTGTTCGCACAAACGACGACAGCAAGAAGTGAGTAAAACATTCCTTAATACTTAATATCTCTGAGGGACTATAGAAAGAAATGGACAAGTATTAAGTAATTAGTCAGTTAAATTTTTCACTATTGTATGTTACACAGTAGTCTGTTACGATAGTTACACAGCAGGAAAACAACCTGTGCACGTGACTGATAGGACTGATAAATAAGATCATAAAGAACAAAAAAAGAGAAAAGAAACAAGTAGTATATAAAGTTATTATTATCTTTATTACGAACTGGTTCTGTTCGGTGAAAGTTCAGCAGAACCTTGATTATTCGAGTTAAATGTGACACACACACACACACACACACACACACACACACACACACACACACACACACACACACACACACACACACACACACA